CACATCTACTGAGACAGGAATTAGGTTTAACCGTTGTGTTAGCCCCAGAGTACGTTCTACGAGTAGGATTCTCACTAGAATGTTGGTCCTGAACAGACAATCTTGCCTCACTGAAACGGTTAATTAGATGCCAAAGTTTGCAAAATGTAAGTAGGGCACCTAATATCCCGCGACACTCAAAGTTCATAGGTATGGTTATCTTAGCAATTACTTAAAGTTCATAATACGAGAATAAAATTATTATTTTTCCACTAATGTTTCACTGACAAGACCAACAAAGGATCTCGTTCTTCTTTGCTATGCCTTCTCACAGATATTTGTGTTCAGCTTTAGTGGAAGAGAGGATGGTGTATAGAACTCTTCTAAATGTAATCCGGTCGAGATTTTGAAGACCGTGAGGAATAATTCAAGAGTAAGGACTCTAAGTTATCTCTTCCTGAAGTGCATTATGATGGTCACTTCAGCCGCCATTCTTTTATATTTGCCTTCGATGTCTGGTATAACAGAGTAGTTAAATCCCAAATCCTTCCCTGAGGACAGCTAGGTAGTTATTCTCCTTCGATTCTCGTGTCTGGAAATATAATAACTGTCACTTTTCAAGTTGAAGCTTAGAACATTTTCAACATTCCAATAAGTCAACCATGGCAAGGCGCTCAAAAGTACACTTTATTAGTTTTCCCCAATAGCTACTCTCCTTATTTTGATGCCATAGGCAAATGTGTTAATGAAATATCTTAGGCATGTCATTTATAAATGGTGAAAGCAGGAGTGACCAGAAAATTATTCCGTACAACATCACTCACATTAAAGGCGGAAGTCAAGTGCTTCAGAAGATATTGGATCCTAAGAAAATTAAGGTAGTATCTGTACAGATGCCAAATAGAACAGTTTGGTATGGATTCCCGAATAATCTTGTCAGAGTTTGGTTGTGTTACTATTGCCCAGCACTTGACCATCCTTAGATAAACTAATGTGCACCAGCACTCAACTAATCAGTACATTACCGACATGTAAGAACTGATAACAAAATAAAAATTAGAAAACACGTTGTGCGGCAAAATGTACTCAAACAAGTCGTTCATTTGTTAGTCATAGGTAAAGAGGTTAAATAAGGGGAAGAATGTGAACTTACCTGTTTGTTAATGGCTAAGTTGAGGACACTGAGCTAGTTGCTGCCAACCAGAACAAAAAAGACGCAAAAGTGGCGAATATAAACTAGTGGATGTCTACAAGCTACGGCAAAATTACAGAACTAATGTCACTCATCGACGTGATGAAAGATTAGTTAGCTATTATTTCTATAATTTAAGTGTTTATTTGTCTATTTCAAACCTAGCATCATTTGGTGCCAAGAAGGTGCACTATAAGTTATCCCCCTCCTAGAAGGCTGTTGGGACACCTGCCTTCAACTGTAGAAAGGAACTGTAAGGTGGACACATAACGCCCTTGGGGATGGAGTAAGTGACATATTGGTCTCCAAAGCTAGTGCAACTATGCACACCTACGAGGTAATAAAAATTCGGGTCTAGACTCAACCCTTCTCTCAGTGATGGTAGGTGACCTGAAGCCTCCATCCAAGTTTTGTTGGCGAATATTAAGCTGAGGAGGGAAATGTACAAGGAGAAATCTGTACGAAAAACTGGTGAATGATCCAATGGATATCGCCCACATCCAGCTTGTATCCGATAATAAAGGTTTCTTCTGGTCTGAAATGAAGAAAACCACAGTCAGTATGGGATAAAGGTAAAACTGCATGACAAGCAAAAATATGAAGTAAAACACATAAGGTTATAGCAAAGCTTATAAATTCAAAGGGCTTTTTACCTACAGTTTTACCATATTTATGGATTTTTCTGAAACATTTTCCAAAAGTTTTTGTAGTGCGAAACACAGCAAGCAAACATAGAAGCAAAAGCGCATTAGCACTAGTTAGACTGGATCAGGCCTCAAATTTCAAGACGAATAATTGATGAAGGCTGTTAGGTGTCTGCACCAGAGAACACGTCGACCGACACATGCAGACGGCGCTTTCTTACTACTGCCAGTGATCTCCTAGCTGACAAATTAGCTATCTTTTTGAACCTGAGAGTCTATCTCATTTTCAGTTGCGCTAAAGGTATGAGTGCATGAAGGGTTGAACCGTCATCAACGTAAGCGGCTTTAAGCGGTCGACCCTCATGATATCTTGCCGTCTATCGGTGATGAAGAACTCCTCCTTTCTGCTAACAACCTTGAAAGATTCGTCATAGGGTGTTTGCAAAGGTTTCCGTACTGCATCACAACGTCCATAGACGTGAGTACAATCTTGAAGCCTTTGACCTAGTTGTACCTGTCCACACTATATTTGTGTGGATGAGAGATCGAGACGATGCATGTGAAGTTTAATAGTTTGAGCATAACCATGTGTATTGATAGAAGTTAGGTCAGCATACTTTGGAGTCAGCAGTTCACCGGGCAAATGTAGGTTACTTCTATAAATCAACTTGGTAGGATTACTTATATTTCCGAGATATTTTGGTTCCTAATAGTCAAAGAACTACTTAACCCCCTTTAGTTAGAGAGTGTAAGATGAAGAAAATCACCAAAGTGGATGTATGAGTGTGATGCTATACCGAAAAACTACAAGTTTCACAGAAACTGAGAACTCGTTAATACAAAAGTGATACAAACAAAATTTTACGTCAACCATACCAGTGCATAGTCCCTACAAGGGCAGTCGTCCACCCGAATCCTAGTTTTGGAAATCATATAAGTCTATAAGAAAAAGAAAAGATAACGAGGAAAGTTCCTAAAACAAATGTGAAAGAGCACAATATTTGGATGAGTCACAGAAAAGTGGATAGTGAGTAAATAAGTCAAAACCTTGGAAATATTTAGCTATATAAAATACTGCAGGGGAATATCAGCAGCATTAAAATCATGCGGCAGTTCTACTCACTAAAGCAATTTATAACAGGGTGTGTGAGGAGTGAACGTATTCACACATGTGATCCACTTTAATCTTTACGAAATAACAACCTAATATCCACTGAAGATCAAGTTTCAAAATATAACTTTCAAACAAGCCGAACTAACTTATAACTTGTGCTAAACACTGGTATAGACTACTTTTCATCGTTTGTATGAAAATTTTTAGTAACAAGTTTCCCGGAAACACATTCACGTGCACCAGTGGAGCATAATTAACCAGTCTGAAAGCAATGTA